TTATTTCTTATTGTTTTAATGAATCAAAAAGTCTTCGCTTAGTTGAAGCGAACGTAATGTTAATTCAAAAAGAAATTGAATTATTAGTTGATAAACAAAATTTGCTGTTGAAAAATATCAAACTAACAGTAACATCAAAACCTTGAGCTTTATGAAATAGTTTTTATTATATTTATGTAAACGATATCAAGTAAGGATATGTTATATGCAATCTACGGACTTGTAGGTATACGTTTTTTTGTGAACTCGAGCTCGAGACAAAGTTTCATTTATTCTCTCACACAAAAAAAGGACGATTCTCAACTAAGAAACTCATCCTTATAGAAACATGTGTCTTTGTTTTTTTTTGTTTATCTTTCATTTTTTGTAGGAACTTGCTTTAAAATCTGATAAAGTTCATACATCAATACAACGTTCATTAAAAGAAACCATTGAAACTCTTAATCATCATATACAAGATTTACAATCTGATAAAACACGTTTACAAAATGATTTACAACAAACAACATTACGTATTGAATCTTTACAAAATGATAATCTTAAACAACGTCAATTAAATGAACAAATTGAAAATGATCGTTTAATAATAATAAATTCATGTCAACATTTTCAACAAACAAATGAACAATTAATAAATGATCATGATCAATTACAAAAACTTTATACAAAACTTGAAAATGAATTTGATACAACATTAAATCAATTAACTGAACAACGTACAACAAATCGTTTATTAACAAAAGAATGTAAATATTTACAAATTGAATTAGATACAATTGTTAAAGAAAAACAAAATTTATTAAATCGTATTAGTTATTTATTAAAACAAATTCATCAATATGAAACAAAATTAGCTGAACAAAAACCACTTGATGAACAGTATTTATTATTACAAAAACAATATCAAATACGTACAGATGATTTACAAGATACATTAACTATAAATCAAAATTTAAAACAACAATTAGATGAAATTAAATTAGAATTAAGTAAATCAAGAAGTGATTTAGCTACAATACAAATGAAATATACAAATATTAATGCTGAATATGCAAATTTAATAACAAAATATGAAGTTTGTTTTTTATTTTTATTTTTATTTTGCTAATGATTTAGTTTAATAATAAACATTTTTTGTATTTAAAGTTTCTTGAACAACAAACTGAACGAACAGAAGAAGAAAAAAGTCAATTAATTGAACAATTACATAATCTTGTACAACAAAATCAAAATGTTCTTGCACAAGCATTAAGTAATAAAGATTTATTTCATGAAGAAGCTCGAGGTTATTTGTATGTATTCGAAGAAAATAATAAAAATAATTAAGAAAAATTCATTCGATTTCTTTTTATTGTTTATTAGAGAACAACTTCATTCATTAATGAGACAAAAAGAACTACTTGAAATGAAAATTATGGAACAATATAAAAATATGACCATACATAAACCAAGACGGTAATCAAATTTATTTTTTATGAAATTTTAATAGAAATAATTCAAACTTATTATTATTTGAATTTCTAATTAAGAATTAAATTCGTACGAAAAATAAATTCTAATCACCATAATCAACCCATCTTTCATCAATATAGATATACTGGAATTATAATTTAAATATTATTTTTCTCCTTTAATCATCCTATGTCATTCATTTTGGCATAAATATTTTTGTTCAATCTATCATTCAAAAACTGAATATAGAAGAGCATCCTAGTCTAAATGTTATTAGAAATCATTTTAAGATAGTTCTAATATTGTTTGCTTATAAATAATGTTTGTTGAAAAGTAAATGATAATTTTTAGTGAGATACATATTTTTAACGATAGCTTTAAATAATGCATTTGAAAGTTTTAGCAGAAATTTCCTATGAGAAAATAAGTCTGTTCTGAAAATTTCAGAGTCATAATACGAACCAAAACATTTCCACTGAATATATTTTTCGCATAGGGAAAATATCAGTATAATATCATAGAGAATAGCAGCACTCTCGGATGGAGCCCGTCGGGTTGATTTCGAATCCGAAAATTTTTGACCTGATGGACTCTAGTCGTCTGAGAAATGTGTGGTGTACGCTGTATTTAGGACGACTATCCAATTTCGCTCAGAAAATTTAATTGAGAATATCAAAGTACGATTCAATCGGGTCTGAATCCGAGAATTTTGGACCTGATGAACTCTATTCCAGGAAGAGAGACAGCTACTTTTGTTCATGTCTGTATGTGATTTTGAGACTCGATATCTTTTCTTTTGCAATCAGAATGTTTTAATATTCAATAATTATTATTTCTTTTTTAAATTAGATCTCGTGGTCTTATACAATCTGTTTCACGAAAAACTCGTAATATTCTTGATCGTTTGGCTAATCGTCGAACACGTACATCATCAGCTGATGGACAACTTTATCTTGGTGATTCAACTGAACGTGCAATAAGTCCATCATTATCTTCTGTTGATAATACAGTTACATCAATAACTCATGCACGATCAACAAGTAGAAAAATAAAATTGAATATTATATTTTCATATGAATAATTTTTAGCACCAGATGTTATATCATCAAGTTTAACATCGGCACGTCAATATCAACCATCAACTTCTGAAATATTTAAAAATCAACAAGGTATAATAAAGAAGATTTTTGTAAGAAAAGAAAAAGTTAATTTTTATTTTATTTTTTCTTCATAGAAACAAATCATCTTCATCAATCAACAGATAGTCTAGCTGATTCATCATCAAAAGGTATTAATGAATTTCTAGACGAAAAAATATTAAATATTTTTTTTTTTTAAATATTTTATAGAAGAAGAAGAATCTCGAATAAATGATGATTCAACAGCTATGGCTAAAGCATCAACGTAAGCAAACAAAAATACCTTAAATATTCATTCATCTTTTTTCTTTTAGTCCAATTCGTGTTACATTACAATCGAAAGCACCGGAATTTGTATGTTTAAATATTCTTTGGTTTGTTTTATTAAAAATTAAAAACAAAAACTTTTTCTTCTAGATTTTAAATAATCATCGACAATCACCATTTCGTCCAATTCGAGATTCACCAGGTAAATTTATTTGTCAAAATTTTTTTATCATTTTTATTTTTCTTTTAAATAAATCATACAGAATATTAATTATGTAAGTAAAGGGGGAAAAAAAAGCATATGCATGTCAATAAATTTCGCACATTGATTTCATAACAACAGAAAATAAAGATTAGAAAAAAAAAAAAACTAAACTCGAATCGAAATTTTTAAAGAAAAATAAACATTGATTTGAAATTAAACTTTTCAATGACTTATGATTCGCACTATGACACATAACAGCTAATATTATTTTCTTTTCATCATTCATAAGGTGCTGGCGATTTGAAATTTATGCAAATTTTGGTTTCTCATAGTTGGATAGAACTCGTTGAATTACCTATCAAAATGTTGTTTTTGACATATTTCAACGATGTTTTTATCTTATGAAATTTAGATAAAAAGTCTATAAAAATTGAAATATATCAAAAGCATCAAATCTCAATATTTATTTGAATTAGTTTTTGATTTTAATCGTCATATAGTTAGGAAGAAAATTGTTTGATTATTGAAAGAATCGATTTTTTTCTATAAGATAGCAAAAGTCGAAAACAATATTTAAAAAAACTTTTGCTCAATTTTTTGCATTGCCATCACCTAAAATCGAATAACAAGAGAAAGAAAAAAAAAGAATTCTATTTTTATGATATATTCAAGGTCTTCAACATTCTCTTCATGATATATCATCTCCAACAGTAAATCAACGTCGTTGTTCATCAACTCAATCATTTCTTATACATCCAAATCAAAATAATACTAATAATATTCATAGTTCAATCCGTCGACATCGTTTAGGTCCATCAATAATTTCTTCACCTATTTTATTAAAACATCAACCATTATCTGAACAACAACAACAAGAAACATTACTTAATGATCATGTACTTATTACAGAATTTGGTGCCATTTAGAAAATAAAAAAATTAAATATTTGTATTCTTATTTTTATGTATATACATGTTTATTTGCATTTTGTTATTGCATTTGTTTTGTTTTCAAATTGATAATATTGTCAGATGTAATTAGAATTAAACCAATTGGGTTTATTTTGTATTATATTCTATATTATCACTTTCTTACTTGTTTTTCTTTTTTATAGTCTCGTAGTATTTGCTCAATAAAAATTGTGCATGATTTTGTTTTCCATTATAAAAACAAAAAACATTTAAGATTTTTATATTATAACAGAAGATTTCATCAGGATATAAAATCTATTCGAGATTATTGATACATGTTAATAATAAATACAAATATTATTTTAACATAAGATAAATGATGTAATAGAACAGAAGAAAGTTAATTAATAAAAATAAATGATTAAAATTCAAGAGAAGGAAAAAACGAAAGTTTCGTGCTTCAAGAATATTTGCCAAAGTTATTCTCTAGAACATTTTAGTTATTTCAAATCTACTATCAACATGTATCCTGAGTATATTAGTTTAAATTCATTTTATATAAGATTGTCTAACAATAAAGACTAACCACTTTATCGTACTTCAGTAATACTCAAATGTTAGAGTAGTTAGGCTTTATTATCAGACAAACTTAGATAAAATGAATTCAAACTAAAATGCTCGTGACACATGTTGATAGTAGAGTTGAAATAGATAATCGAAGATGACTTTAGCATACCTCTGGAGTACAGAATTTTCCCATTTGATAAAACCTTCATATAAATTAAATAAAATCATATTTTACAAAAGATATCATTTTTGTATAAAGCTATTAGGCGTTATTCAACTCGGTACTTTTCGATGTTTTTTTATAAAATGTTATATAGAACTAAAGTTTAGCTTATGTTGATGTAAACTTATACGTATTTTCTCAAGAGCTATAATTCTATATAAAATATTATTGGGTAACATATACAGGAAACAAGCTATTAAAATGTTTGTCCTATTAGAAGTTAAGAAAAATCTTTAATGGCAAATTTTGTTGGTTGGAATTTTATTAGAAACTAAGAAAATGAATGAAATTCTGATGATAATCCATCAGTTGTAATTCGAATAAAGTTTCTTTAAAATTGAACAAATGTCTCATTATTATATTTAGAATAAATATATAAGTCAATTTTCATATATTTTATTTATTGATTTTTTTTTACAAATTTGTGCAAATAAAAATACAATACTATGAAAAAGTAGACATATTCAGCGCTTTATTTTGTCACCAAGATTTTTTTTATAGTAACAAAATTTGTTCATTTTATATACATTTATTCATTCATCTGAATAAATCCTCTGTTAAAAAAAACTAAGTTTCTGTTCGTACCTATTGAATGTCTTAACTTATTTCTCTTCCTAATTTAATATCATTGATCGTATCTTCTATTATCAGTGAAAATGTCTTCTTGGACATTTTTTCTTATATTCTTTATTCAGTTAGTATATTATTTGCAAATAGTCACTATAGTGAATGCTTTACTCAATACAACTGACAACGACATCGATAAAACGGGTAATACAAAGCGGCATACAATAAAAAAAAAAAAGAAAAGAAATAATCTTATCGTTATTATTTAAATAGTCTATATTGAAGATGTAGCAGCACTTCCGATTTACGATATCTTTTCTGAAAATCTATCAACAAATCCGATTTATACAGAAAATCATAGAAAAAAAGGTAAATAAAAATATCGATTATAGTTGCGATAATAATTAAAATTCATTCATCAGATACATATGAAATATATACTACAAGTGTATCATCATTTCCAATTGACAATATCGACTCGGAAAATCCAACAACAGTTCAACTTCAATCAGAAAGTCATCCATACGAAAGTAAGTGAGAATATCAAGAAACATAATGATAATGACTAGGAAATATACTATTTATTGACTTAGAATCTACAGAGTATTTATCAACACTTTCAACACACAGTGCAGACTTCAAAAACGAAGAAACAACAATACCAACTGATGATATATATTATACACAAGAAGGTTAGTCAGAGAATATGAAGAAACACGATGGTAATAAGTTGATAATGCACTATTTATTAACATAGAATCCACTGAACGAGCATCGACAGTTTCAGAACACACTACAGACTTCGAAAATGAGAAAACAACAGAATCGACTGATGAAATATATTATACACAAGAAGGTTAGTAAGAATATGAAGAAATACAATGGTAATAAGTTTGATAATACATTATTTATTGATTCAGAATCCACTGAACCAACATCAGCAGTTTCAGAACAACATACAGAGGCCGAAAATGAAGAAACAACAGATAATGGGTTATTTATTGTTACAGAATCTACTGAACCAGCATCGACCGTAACAGAACAAAGTGCAGAGTTTGAAAACAAGGGAACAACAGAATCCACTGATAAATTATATTATGCACTAGAAAGTTAGTAAGGATACGAAGAAACGTAATGATAATAAGTTGATATGATACTATTTATTAACACAGACTCCATTGAACCATCATCAACGATTTCAGAACAAAGTACAGAATTCGAAAAGGAAGAAACAACAGAATCACCTGATGAAACGTATTATCCACAACAGGGTTAGTAAGAATATGAAGAAACGAGATGATGATAAGTTAGTAGTGGATTATTTATTGACACAGAATCCACTGACCCAGTATCGATAGTTTCTGAACAAAGTGTAAAATTTGCAAATGAAGAAGTAACAGAATTGATTGATGAAATGTATTATGGACAAGAAGGTTAGTAAAAATACAAAAAAAGCTCGATGATAATAATTTGATAATGTACTATTTATTAACATAGAATTCGCTGAATCAGCGTCGACAGTTTCAGAACAAAGTACAGAGTTCGAAAACGAAGAAACAACTGTACCAATCCACGAAGAAAAAAATGCAGTAACAGGTAAATAAGAGTATCAAGAAAAGAGCTGAGAATGTGTTCATAAACAAATCAAACAAGCATGTTTAAAAAATAGTCGTGTTTGCTTACAATATAGTTTTTAATCCATCTTTATTCATACAGGATCATAGAAGTTATTTGAAAAAGTTGAGATTTCTCGAAAAAAACACAAGACAGTAGTATATATACACCAATGCGCGTCTTCGGTACATGCATTCGAATAGAATTTACCAAGTTTTTTAGGAAAAACAAATAACGAGTAAGATTATACACAACTCTTATCTTTGTCATAATTCACATATACTGTGCTTGTGTTGAAAGGCTTAAGTATCATCAGCATCTGTCCTGATAATGAAAACAAATTCATGAAATTCTGCATGCCTATGCAACATTATCGTATGTACGAAAACTACTATTGAATTGTTTCTGAGTTGATAAGAAAAATTTTCCATTTTGTTGTTTAAATATTGATTTGTACGAGAGTTTAACTTTTACTTCAACATGTTATTGTTGATTTTCTCATTAAAATGAATTTGCTCTTGTATTTTTGGATCAGTTTTATTTCAAAAGTTTGTTTTCGTTTTTTCGAATTTATTAATAGTTATTAACATATATGTCCTACAGTCATTAGATAATCAGTATGTATACAAGTTTTGAATGTAGCTCTAATGTAAGTAGACGCTTAGCGTGAAATGGAAGTTTGTCTCATGAAATAAAAATTTTCAAATTTGAAATTGATATGTAGAGAAAGACTTTAGCATATTCATGTGTATTTGCAACAAACGCTTCGTTATTCTATCTACTGTAGTCTGTTGTGATGCATATTAGCATTCAACGTTTCGAGACGAATGATTATAGTATAATATGTGACATATTTACACATGTTTGTTTTTTCGTGATGCGAATATCTAGGGATGTACCAATCGTTTATATAGTATTCATAAATGTCGTATCAGTATCTTCAATTTATAATTATAAATGTAAAAATTTATAAATAATACAGCAACATGTTAAGTTTATTTCATCATTACTATTGCTATCATCAAGCCGTACAAAGTCACTAGTTAGTTCTTCTGAAGATGAATTGATAGTTTTGTCAATGTTCGATTCATGACTTTAATATTCGTCTACTGTTGACAAGGTATCATCACCATTCAATGAATTGTCAGTTAATTATTTATTATTGGCAATTCGTGTTCTAGAAAGAATTTGGTGTTTGTATCTGCTGGCGATACCACTGTTCAACACCAATTACTATTATTTCAAAATACATTGTCTCTAATTCTTTACATTGCAAGCTAAAAAAATGCATCATTTTCGAAGTGAAGTAAATAAAAAATAACTGATGTGCTTGCTCTCCAATCCTTTTTTTTTTTACAGTTAAAGTTTTGTTTCAACTAAGTCATTCACAACTATGAGAAAAGCCTGTATATACATCAAGGGGTATCATCTGTGGAAGAGAAAAAAAAGTTGAATCCTAGAATTGTGAATCCATCGAATTTCAAGATTCGAGGATTTTACAATTTGCTATTTAACATGCGTATGAATGTCTCCAATACTAACATGTTGAAATAAAAACTAAACTCTTGTATAAACCAATATTTACACAGCGAAATAGTAAAATTTTGCCTGTCAACTGAGTATCAATTCAATAGTGATTGCCGTACACACGATAATGTTGTATAGATGTGCAGAATTTCGCGTACTTGTTTTCAATTATCAGGACAGATGCTGATGATACTTAAATTTTTCAACACAAATGCAGTATATGTGAATTATGGCAAAGATCAGAATTATGCATAATCTTACTCGTCAGTTTTTATTCCTGAAAAACTTGATAAATTGTATTCGAATGTATATGTCGGAAACACAAACATCGATATACGTGAACTATTGTCTTACATATCTTCTGCAAAATCCCAACTATTTCAAATAACTTGCATGATTGTGTATGAATGAAGATGCGCTAAAAAAATATGTTGTCAGCAAATGCAAGTGTTTTTTGAATATACTGCAAACATATGCAATGTTTAATCTTTCACATTTGTCATTAATCATAAAAGAATTGATTTGGATGTGTGAAATTGACAGTATTTGAAAGGAGAAGTATGTGTTAGTTGAGAAAAAAGAATCGTAAAACGAGAGAAATCTAGAACTCACTATCGACTGTGATTCTTTCTAATAGGAATTGATTTAAATAAAATAGATTGAAATTATTTAGAAGATTCAATCAATCGTTTACTTGAAAATATCTTTGATTTAAATGTCGTAGGATGCAATCATATTGGATTTCAATATTGTCTATTTCGTTTAATAAACATAGAATAATTAGAAAAAAACGAATCTTTTTTTTAAAAATTAAGAAAAATATAGATTTCAATTTTTTTTCTGACAAATGTATCAAACACATCGAATAATTTTTCTTTTCTTTTTTTTGTTTTTGAATTCATTGCAAGACTTCGAACAGATGATCAAGATTGATAATGAAGCTATTGTACAACAATTCAATCCATTTATATCAATAAGTTTTCAACCTGTTTTCAAGGAACATCAACAACGTGCTAAGGCATTTTTAACATGTTGTCAATGGGATATAGGATCAGATGAACTACTATTAAAAAAATATGTTGATGCGTACGGTTTATTAGATGAACAAATGAAAATAATCAAAGAATGTGCTGATAAAATGATAATCCATGATAAATCGGATTGTGAGTTTAATTTACGACTATTAGAAAAAGCTCGACAATTAACCAAGGTGTAAGTAAATTAACTTGAAACTTTATCTAAATGTAATAAATATCTTTTTTTCTTAATGACATAATAATAAATTATATTCTATAGCATTTTTGTAAAAAAAAACACAAACTAAAAGAAGCGTTGAAGTATAGGGATAAAAATTTAAATCCCTTTCTACAGGCTATAATAGACATTGATATACGATCACATATTGTATATGAATAATATCTTGTTCTAATATATGAACTACTTCCTTATTACCGTTTCTGAAGGATTAAATAAAAAGATGATGAAGAACTATATATCTCAAAATAGATAGGATAAAGCAATCTCCTTATAATTAGCAACATCAAAATATTCTAGATAAAATTCTAAATATAAATTTCTTCTCTATGATAGATTTATTGATTTGTATTCAGAAAACAATACAATAAATGATAATAGTACAATGAAATTATTAGATCAAGCAATTGTACAATCAATTGATGTAAAAAATATTGTTTATGATTATGATACTACAACAAATGATTTTTGTGGTTTTGCTCTCATTCTATTATGGCAACCATATAAATTAATCAATTGTGAAATATATTATCGTTCATTATTATCTAATAATTTATTATTCTATAATAATTATAATAAATTTAAAAAAGAAATAAGTCCACCATTTCAACAAAAAGCTTTAAGTTTAATGATTCCTGTTAAAGTATGAATATATTTTACTTAAGATAATCTATATTTCTTCAATTATATTTCATATTAAATCTCTTTAAATATTAAATTTAAATAAAAAATTAATAAAAATAAATTAATTTCTCTTTTAGAATGCTTGGAATATAATAGTTGATCAAGTAAAAAAAAATATTCAAACAAAACTTGATAACAAACCTCTATCACAAGATCAAATTGATAAAGATACAGATCAAATTAAAAATAGATTATCATATTATATAATCAAACTTAATCATCCAATGATTATACACCATACAAAAAGTGCACATACTTATAAAGTTTGCTGTACATCAATTAAAACATCTGATATCTTCAATGAATATTTAGCATATTTTGATCATGATCCTAATCAAGGTCATTCTATGGATAAATTTTTACATTCTTGGTTTGTTATTATTATTATTTTTTTTTCTTATCTAAAGGATTCATAAAAGAATGAATTCAATTTTATTATAGTGTTCAACATCAAACTTCTGAACCAATTGATATTATGACAGAAAATAATGAATGTAATATAAGTTATAATGAATTTTTAGATGCTATGAAAAAACGACAAGAGTATGTAGCATAAAATGTTTTGTTTTATTTTTTCTTTTATAAATATTTATTAAATAAAGGAAAAAAAAATATTCTTTTCTTTTCAGTTTTATTAATAAATATGAAAAACAAAATCCATCTATGGTTATAAAATTTCAAGAAGCTATTCGATTTAAAATTAGTCAAATAGATATCATACGAACAATGGCAGATTATGTTGATCAATATTGTCAAGATCAACATATATTTGAACTTATGTTTGATGCTCGTAAAATAATTAATTGTGAAAAAATAATTCGTCATGTTATTGGCAAAGAAAATTCGAAAAAATATTCCTATTATAATATATCAATAAGTTATCCATTTCAATATATGGTACTTGAAGATTGGGATAATCTTGCACAAGCAATAACTTCTATAAAAACAGATGATGATACAAAACCTGCAAGCATTGTTCATGTAAGATTTGATGAAATTAATTTCAAAATAATTAAAAATATGTTGTTGTTTTTTTTTTTCTTTATAAAAATTATAGAATTTATCAAACTTATATAGGTAAAAATGCTTCTCTTCATCTATCATTCTTAAGAGAATATTCTTCCTCTTTCTTTTTTTGCTACTCAAAGTTTTTGTCGCTATGCATCTATCTACTAAATACATTTTGGCGATTCAAAAACTATCTTTAAACATTACAAAAAAAAATCAAATTTATGTAACGGAAATAGCGAATTGCGTTTTTCTTCAAACCAATTTTTCCATGACTTTGGTAACTCTTACAAAAAAAGCTCTATTCAAATATTCGATAAGTTGTTCTCTAGAAATTTCATATCGAAGAGGCGCCTGTAAGAGAGCCAATTTTCCAAATATTGTTGATAATATAACATAAAACGAGATATATTTCAAATATTATTCTCATGATTTTAAATATTTGATCTATTATGTGTCTCAACAATCCTGATGAATGTAGATATAAAACTTTCTATTCCATCAATAATATGTCTTTGTTATGATATCTGAAATCTGATTTCTATTTATTATTACTTTGAATTTTATAAATCTATTAGAAGGAAAAAACTTAATGGATTAATCAGTCTTCGAATAATATGTGCTAGTATATTCATTCTGCCATCTAAATGTTCTAAAAGATATAAATCATTAGATCTTGATTTTTTTTGTTTGAAATTACTCACTCGAAAAGTAACAATATTACTACTTATTTTTACTTCATTAGAATTTGAATAATATAAATTTCATGTTACTTTTGTACTTTTATCATTACAAGTCGAAAGTAAATATTGACACCTTTATTAATATATCAATTTTTAGAGCAGAAACTATCCTACAAAATGTACAAATAGAACTTTTCTACAGGTCACTTCAATTGTCATTTCTTTTAAATCTTCATTTTTGAAAAACCGATTGTTCAATCAAAAGGCAATTTGTATATAGTTTCACTTAGATAAAAATCATAGCTTAGTTCCATATAAAATATTACCAAAAGTTTATTCGGTCAGCATTCAATCTAATTTTTTAGGCCTTTTGGAAAATTCCTTCACTATTCTTGAATAAAAACTGAGATAAAATTTCTGAGACAATATTTCGAAAGTGCACAATATACTGATTCTAATCCATAGTTGTTAACTCATCAGAAACAAATACTTTCAAGAGAGTTAAAAATAAACAAATATTTTGTTTCAAAACTTTCGATCCATCTATTAATGCTAATTTTTTTTTGTCATACTTTAGTCAACACAGAAGTTCAAACCATACGGCTTCATTCATGACTATGATTGCTTATCATTATTTTTATATTTTCTTGATGTTTATTATACAAATTGTTAATTATTAAAAATGATTTTCATCGTTTTATTTTATTTTTCGATCAAGAAATAAAAAAAAAAAAAAAGAAAAACAAATAAATTTTTTTCGATTGTCATTTTAATTTTTTCTATCGATTCTTGCGAATAAATATTCTTTTTTTTCTCGAGAAAAAAAAAACGGCTCTATCGGTTTATTTAATATTGTTTAATAGAAAGAAAAAGAAAACCAGTTGAGGATAATAATAGGTAAAGTGTTATGTATATATATAAATATATATATATATACTGTTCTGAGCAAAAAGAAAAAAAAAGGAGAAATAACAAAAGACTATTTGCATATAAAGGAGCTAATATAAATTAATAACACAATTAATTTTTGCTGGTTTGTTTACGTTTTTTTGTGTTCTTTGATACATCCCTTCGTGTTATGTCCGCTGCCGACGGATAAGCGTTATCGTACTGGTTAGAAGTGTCCTGTTGCTGTTGCTCATCGTAACCTGGGTGAGACCAGGATTCATACGCATGTCTAAATAAATAAATAAATAAAAAAGAAATTGATTAATAATTATTATACAACTAATAAAACAATTACATATCACACAAAACAAAAGAGGAAATGGAAAACCATGCTATTGTTAGCTTACTCGCATCTTTCTCCCCGAAACTGTGGTAAACAATGACATACACTGATTTCATCTGTTATCTCACGACATACTCCACCGTTACTACATTGTCGATCATCTTTACATGATAAACCTATTTATTTAATTTTTATTTAAATATTATATATACATGTGTTTGTTTTCATTGAAAGTCGATTAAAACATTAACTTACTATATTGACATCGTGAACCAGACCAGCCTGTTGAACAATAACATTGAATGCCTCTTCCATGATCAACTTCTTGACATATACCACGATTATTACATATACTTGAAGAACATAATGAATTAGAACTTGATGTTGTTGCAGGTGGTGCAAGAGTATGTGCTGTACCTAGAAAAACATATATATGTTCAAGATATTGAAACATTTTTTTAAATCTATATTGTACATTTCACAAAAGAATAGAAAAGACAAGTCCAACTGAGAATCAAAATACTTTAAAAGTTTTCTAAGGGGACTCCAGCAATTTTTGGAAAATCACTGTTTGATTCGCATGATTAGCTATATTTTCAATTTCAATTTAGTCACATTGTAGGTCAATATCTGCTTTATAAACTCCGAAATTGTTTAGGTGTTTTCGAGTTTTTGTTAAAAAATGAGGACCACTTTTATTGAATTTTCCAAACATTCCTAGGTATTTCGATCTGAAAATTTGCCCATAGATAAGTTTAATGGCTCACATAGAATATCTCGAAAAATTCTTGGAACTCCTTAGAAAAATTTTCAAATATTTTGATTCTCAGATAACCTTGTGTACTCCCATTCATGTTCTTTCTAACGGCGAAAATTCGAGCTCAATAGCTATTAGTGTTGTCGAGTTATTCAACAAACAAGTGAGTCCACCACTCTTTTCTGAAATAGATAATACATACCACAGGATGGTCGTTGAGATTGACAACGAAGACCACAATAAGGATAAGGACATGAACAAACATAATCACCAAGTGGACGTTGAATACATTGACCTCCATTTATGCATTCCTCTCCGCTATCCAAACAATTAAGTACTCAAAAAAGAAACATATATATATATGATTACAAATGCAAAATATTTCACTTATTTTCAACACTTACTTTTTTCACATCGATTACCCGAATAACCAGGTGGACAGAAACAAATAAAACCTTGTGGATTGTATGGATCATTTTGACATGTACCACATATACATGGATTTTTCACACCACAAATATCCACTAGAATTTGAATAAGAACAACTATATCATTTTTTAGAATTTTTTTTCAACTAACTTTGTTCACAATTCTGTCCTTGAAAGCCTGTACGACATTGACATATATACGATCCATCACCTGAACTAACACAAACACCTCGATTTTGACATGGTTGAGCGGCACAACTATCTTGATCTTCACATCGTTGACCACTAAATCCACTAGGACATTGACATGTAAAACCACCAACTCCATTTGGTATACAGGCACCATTATTGAGACATGGATTCGGTGTACATACATCTTCTAAAATGATTAATTATGTTTCATAAATCATAATCTCCTAAGTTTTCTAGTTTGAAATCTATTGCAAAGAAATATCAACTTTCTTCTTACGTGTTTCACATTGTAAACCTGTGAAACCAGAAGGACATGCACACTGATAGCTACTATTGTCGTTAATAGGTTGACATGTACCACCATTCATACATGGATTACTTTGACATGCATCTCTTATTTCACATCGACTTCCTGAATATCCTGGTGGACATGTACAACGAAAACCATCATTTTCTCTCATGCAAGCGCCTTGATTCATGCATGGTTGTGAAGTACAAGGATCATCTAATAATAGTAAAGCAATAAAACATGCAACAGCTTAACTAGACGATATTCTTACGATCTTCACATCGTTGACCACTAAAACCAGGAGGACATTGACACATAAATCCTCCCATACCGTTCGGATAGCATTGACCGTTATTTAAACATGGATTCTGAGCACATGGATCGCCTATATATTCATTCATCTTATTTTGTTTTCATTTGTATCAAACATCAACAACTTACGTATTGAACAATCAAAACCTGAGTAACCAGATGGACAGATGCATTGATATGAATTACCATTGATTGGTTGACAGGTACCTTCATTTCGACAGGGTTCATTGGCGCACGGATCGATACCTAAAAACTAATTATCATGGCCAAAACATATGATGTGATTCGATGAACTTACGATCTTCACAACGTTGTCCTGTATATGGTTGAATACAGATACACATGAATCCACCATAACCATTTGATGAACATTGGCCATTATTGACACATGGATTTATTGCGCAAGGATCACCTAAAAAAAACAGCATCTTAGTAATCGAATACGGCAATGATCGAATATTCTTTTTGAATTTATTTTTCAACATAAAACCAAAAGAAAACAAAGAAAAATTCATGAGCACTCATCATATGTGATACATAGACATATTTATATTCATTGCTAATTAGTATACGACATGTTTCACTATTTCCATATGGATTACTGGCATATGCACCTACTGTTTCAATTTATTATAGAAAGAAAAAGTGCCATCGATATTATTTTATTGAGTTCTTCAAAACCCATACTGAAGTCAAAGATATACAACACATTTGTTATATCTTCTTCCAGTTGTGTGTAGATTTCTGCCATTTTTCATTCTTTAAAAACTCGAAATGCAAATGCACACTTCTTGAAGAAGCAAAAACTTCGTACTTTTGAGGACTAACTTAAAAATATATATCGAAGTACCAAAACGTAGGAGAAAATAGTAAGTATATTGTTCATCTCTGTGCAAAAAACTGGGAATATATAAATTTAAAATTGATTATATGTGTAAAAAAAAACAAGTTAAAAATAATTTGTATCTTTTTTTGTATCATTATTTTATTCTATTTTAACTATACATTCGATTTGTTCTATTTAAGATTTAATTCAGATTACGCAAATGTAGTTCTGTTTTAATTTTAAAATCGATCAATTCAATTTGTTTTCAATTCAAATGATCGATATATTTATTTTTGTACTTAATATATTTTTTGTTATTATTAGTTTTTTTCTAAACCTTTATGGTCAAAAATTT